TCTCCCAGAGCTGTTTCACGGCCAGTTGCGCGTTATCGAACCACCTCTGCTTCTCTTTGTCGCTTGGAAGAACCCACTCTTGCCTAAACCAAGCCCATTTTCGATACGGGTCAAGGATCTGAGCGGCATGGTACGCTGGCGGAACGAGGATTTGAGCTGCATAGTATGCTGGCGGAAGGTCAGTATCGTCGGGAAATCGATTTTGCCAGTTCAGTTGCTGGTTGTTGTAGTACTCGGCGCATTTCGACCAGGCGGCATCTGCGCATCCTTGAGGATACGTCCACGTGAAGTTATTGTCATCCTCGGTGTGGATGTCATGATAGTGATCCTTCGTCTCGTTTATCTCTCGAAGAAGGCAGTCCAGGGTCGAAAACCAGTCAGCAAGGGACGTCTTCCTCCCTTCGGAAAGTAAAGTTGCGACGTAGAAGTCCTTTAGAGCGAGTTCAATCTTTTCAAGCTCAAACCAATGCTGTCCGTCTAACTTAAAGTTTGCAATCCCTCGAGAGCCCTTTGTGGGTACATGGCGAGCGGAGAAGAGCTCCAAGCGTTCTCGAACGTTCAATGCACGTGAAGAGCTCCAAGCGTTCTCGAACATTCAATGCAGGTGTAATTGAATGAAACCATGAATTCCAGCGTGTCGAGTTATTTTGAATCAACTCGAGCCCATCGAATGCAGAGAGATCGCCGCCGATCACTATTGTAGCAAACTCTTCGCGGCGCTGTGGTGTCAGCCTGATGTATCGCACCAGGTTGTGAAGGCGGCCCAAACATCCAAATTTCTTCCACAGTTCTTCTACCTTTGCAAAATCTCCGCGCACGTGATGTTTTTCAAGCTTTGCCAGATATTTCTCACAGTTCCTGCCCAGGAGGAATGCTTGGCAACAGAGATTGATTATATGGCCTAAGCAGCGAAGTCGGCGATGGCGACGTTGTTTTGCATCCATCCACGGACAAAGCACCTTAAGTATAGTCTCAACAGCGGTGTCATTTGACGAAGCATTGTCTAGCATGAAGTATCCAATAGAGTCTCCGTCGATGTTGTATTCTTTCAGTAATTCAAGAACAACTGATCCAACATTCTCGCCAGTGTGTTCACCGTAGACGCGTCGCATCCCTAGAACCGTAGACCTTCGCTTGCCGGTAGCATCGATCCACATGGCGACGACGCCTAGGATAGCGTAAGGATTTGGCGAAGTCCAGAGATCAAAGGATATTGAGATTCTACTCCGCGAATGGTGGAGACCCTCTCTTAGCTGTTGCTTCTTCGATATGAAAGCATTCATTACCCAGCTTCGAATAGTTCTGGCGGCCTTCGGTAGGTGGTTCATTAGTGCTGGATTTAAAAAGAAGAGTAATTCACGAAAATACTGGTTCTCCAATTGAAAGAAGGCAATGTGACAGTACACAATCCAACGGACTAGAAGCTCTTGGAATCTCTCAATTGAGTCCTTCCAGAAGAAGGTATTGGAAGCTGCTGCATCTTTCTGTTGATCCAGTACCGACTTCTGTACGGAACTACTTCGCCTGATACCAGTCTTGGTATCAATCTGATGCTTCTGCTCAAGATGAGTTCTAGCCTTAGAAGTACCGTTGATAACAAATAATTCTTGCTTGTACTTTCCAACCGTACACTCGTGGCAGAAGTACACCGCTTTCTTATCACTACTTCGAATGTATTGAAGGCCATACTTCCAGATATGTGATGAACATAGACGAGATCCTTTATTTGCGATCATTGACCGTTTCACATACGTGATACCGTCCTGAACGAACTCATCTGGAGCTTCGTCATATTGAGCTGGGGCGGAGAAGGGCGTAGAAGTACGTGATGTCGTTGAGGCGGGCGACGTGGGAACAGGGGATGGTGTAAGAGACGTTGACGCTAACATTGCAGCCAATAGACGCAGCGATTCAGCCGCAGGTTGTATAACGACAACAACATAACTATTTTACGAGGTCGTTATACATTATTCCAG